TAATTTATTTATTTACTTCATGAAATATAATACAATGGAGTTAATTAATATTTTGTCGTCGATCGACCTCATTAACATCATCATCTGACCATTAAATACTATTAATAGCAAAGTCACCTCTAGAAAGGAAAGTACATGTACATATAATATCACAGTTACGTTCACTGACTGATATAAATTTTTCAAATATTGAATTAACACAAAACTGCATAGTTTTGAGTACATTTTCAACATATAATAAGAAAGCAATAATTTGAAAAATTCAAGTTTGATTTTTGTTGCTTGTGCCTACAGAAGTAGTCTCCTTTGCATCCGTTCATCGTCGGGACAGGAATCCCGAAACGCAAACGGATGCGAAGCAACGCCAACTCTTCAAAGGCGAAAATACGTAATTTGATTTTTAAATTTTCTCACGAAAAATACACAGCAATGTCACACATACATTTTATTTCTTAAATCCGGTGCTAGGTTTTTTATTAACAAAATAAGTTATGCGCGAGGCCCAGTTTTTTGGAGCGAACTGTGGTGAAAACATGGATCGCCATACTATTTTAATGCTCAACTTCAACTCTTCAAGGGCAAAAATACGTGATTGGATTTTCGAATTTTCTCATGAAAAATACCCAGAAAGGTCGCATATAGATTTTATTTCTTAAATCCGGTGCTAGGTTTTTAGGATTGTTTTTAATGTCGCCGCATTTCTTCAAAAAGCCTTGAAATCTGGCCTTTTTTCGTCAAATTTGGCACTTCATACGGACTGTCAGGTCAAGCTTGAGTGATCACGGACTATTTGTCCCCCATAAGTTCCATATGTCTTTGTAAGATGTTTCCCAAACGCTTTGCGAGAGTATTCATCGTGTAGCGGGGCGTTCAACCCTCTCTAACAGTGTTGTAAGGTGAACGGTAGCGGGAGACCAGGATGTAGGAACTTAGGATCTTGGGAACTTAGGATACAGGGAACTTAATATCTTGTGATGTCCCTTAGAGGGCTCCATTAATTTCTATAAGAACCTTTCTATAAGAACCTGTTTCAATTTTAGGATAAATAGGTGCTTATGTAAATGGGGTCTAAATTGATATTTTTAGGCTAACAAGTTCTTAAATTGCAGGTTCTTATAAGCAGGTAAGTACTGTATATCCCCTGCTTCGCCCGTCTTCATAGAAAAAATGACAAACACCCACTACACAAGGCTTAATCCAATCATGATGCAAATGAAGAAAATTACGAAAATGTCTGCAGGAAACCTTCAACCGGTAATCATGGTCAATCTGACTGCACAGTCGAAGTTTCCTGCTGAAATATTAGATGTTCAGCCAAATTTCTATTTATCCCAGGATTGGAGGATTTGTGCAATCAAAGTCATTTCTTGGGCTCCCTGTTTTGTTTCATCTTGAAATGCGGAAGACTGGGGTCGATCGAATGTTTCTTTTGTTTACTTCCGGAATATGTGAATTTCCCGGAATTTATTTAATACCAAATTCGGGGAATCTTCAACGGCGTGGCCATCAAAATGTAAAATGACAGTATATTGGTAGGAAAAAGGCTTTGAAAATGTAGGATTAAAGGAAAATAGGTGAATTTTCATCGGCTTGAATTTTTTGATATGGCTGAAGCAGCACTAGCTCTACACGAATCACCCGACACAGAACGGTTCCAACGTGTCGCTTTACTGCTCGTACGTGGAGGAACAATCATTATTCGTGGATTGTTTGACAATATTCATCCTCCTTTAACGCTTGTACATGTATTACAGATCCATCGAGCTACATTAGATGATTTGAGAAGAAGACGAATTTTGAATTCTGATCAGTGGAAAAAGTTGTTTCCTTCTCCCGGTGCTTATGGAGAGTCCGAAGATTTTGATTTGACTTTGCTTTTCGTGTTGCTGAGAAATATTTGTAATCTTACTGCACCGGCTAATGGTTGGGACAAGTTGCCGGCGGATATTTCCGATATCTCTATGGAAGATGATTTGGCGCGAATCAAATATTATCGTAATTATTTGTATGGTTACATCATGGTCAAACTTTCTGAAGATGAGTTCAACGAGTGTTGGGACGAAATATCAAATGCTTTGCTGAGAATTTTAACCGTTTATGATACTCCAGAGTCTGTCAGGAATTGGGAAAAAGAAATAAAAAAGCTCCGCGGTGGTCCTAATTCATCAATCGACTTCGGCCAAGTTGGACTTACACGTAAGTGAAAATTGTTTTCGTTTRCACCTAAAATATCACGACGCCATCTTGACAATTTTACACCAAATTTATTGTTGGAAATGTGCGCTCATAAAATCGTCACAAAACCATATTCATGCGAATAATTTTCACTGCATAACTATTAACTATTATAGACGAGTACAAACATTAAATGTGTGCAACACTTTCACTATTTACAACAAAATATTAAACAATAGAAAACAATAGATTAACATAATTTAGCAGTATTTAGTGGTATTTATGTTGCACAGTTTTAGTGCTTGTAATCAATGCTTTGCGATTAAAATATTTAAGAAGTTGAATGTGTATAAAGTAGCCAATGTGCACGCAATTTTTTTACTGAAATTTCTTACAAAGTTAGGAATATATTTTCTTATTATTGACTCAAATAGATTTTAGGAAGTATTTACACTCAAGATATTATTTTAAGACAATTGAAGACTTTGAGTTAGTGTATGCCAATGTTTGTTTGTTGTCATTGCGTCTATATTAATTTCTCCATTACCGTTAAAGTTGTTATTTTCAATGAGGTGACCCAGTAGTAAATAACACATTCTTCGTCACAAAACCATATTCATGCGAATTTTCACTGCATAACTATTAACTATTACGGGATTGGCTAATCATCGAGTTAGAGGTTGAGTTGAGTTTGAGTTGAGTTTGAGTTAACATTGAGTTAACATTGAGTTAGCTAAAATATGAAATAACAACTTT